AAAAATAATCAAAATCTGGGAAACCTTAAGAAGGATGTCTGAAAATAATAAAATATTGAAATATTGTTAAATTTAAATGATGAAACAAAAATACATCATATTAGAAGCCTACATATAATTTATATAAGAATAGGGGAAGATCACCTAATTCCGTCCACTTTTTGTATTTTTCTTTTTATTGAAAAACACGGCGAAGATTATCAAAACCGCTTGAAAACTATATGAAACATCAATAAAACTAACATTAATTGCGGGGTCTCCGATTCAAATCATCGCTGTTTGATTGGTTAATATCATAGAAAAGGTGGACAATTGCGTTTCCTAATCCCGTCCACCTGTCCTAATCCCGTCCACCAAACAGTCCTAATTCCAGCCAGCCAACAACCTAATGCCGTCCATGTGATTAATTACCGTGATTCTCAATAAGTTTACATCTATTGCCTAATATTTGTTAATTCCCTAACCATTTATACTATGGTATGTTACCCTACGGTGTTATAACTGAATGACTTATTCATATTTTTGTTACAGCACAGCCCGAGTGGTGATGTATTTGTTATGGTATCTAAGTTTAGGGAACATTGTTCGGCGGTTGGGATTTCTCACTTGTAACAAATTGACGGTGACATTTGGCTTTGTCGTAATTAGGCCTACATTTTGTATAACGTATTTAGCAAACATGTTGTCAGTTTATATTCTCCTTTAAGGATCAGATGATAAGGTCCCCGTAGTGTTAAAACCTGAGGCCGAGGAATACTTTAAAAATGTTTAAAATGTCCGCTAGTGTACTGAGATGTTAATGCGTGGTGTATACATGTATATTATACTAGATTACTTACATGTATAAGAATAAGACTGATTTTTATAAGCTAAATGGATAATAATTCTTTTTATTAATGACAGTATACCCGGGCCTCAGGTTAAAACAATGTACGCCAATGCCAAGTGTTAACAAGCAAGGGTAAAAATTGAACAGGCCTAGACCTACCTTAAGTTCTCGAGTCAAATTGTCAAACTCACAATGGGTTCACACGGCGACAGCATACTATTTTCTCAAAGTTATGTATCGTCGTATTACGAAATAATGGAATCTGACAATACTGTAGTTGTATACCATACCTGTAGGTATATATTTATTTTAATTATTCAGAAAGAACATAACAATCTGCGTTAGGACTCATGATGATTAAAAATCGCAGTATCTGAAGTATACTGTAGTTTTACTGCTGTGAAAAGTGCTCGTCTATAAAGCAATCCTTTTTATTAGAAAACAAAGTCAGGTTGAGTTCGTCAAGATTTCCCAAATCGTCGTTCAATAATGATTTAAATGTCAAAAAACATTTGATCATTTTAAGCACACAATTATAGTTGCAATAGATGCATTTTATTTATTACCATTTGGATCTGGGACACTGATATTTCCCAATGGTTCCATTAACAAATATATTTAATAGTCCAACAATCTGACTATAGGATACCATACGCTGACACGTAATCAGTGATTGAAAGTGCATAATAGGCCCAGTATATAAACGTTGAAGCTAGCGTTACGTACTAGGCTTTTGACACAAGATACTAAATAGGTTTCTGTTTGATTAAACTTTTTAGCAAATCTGCTTTTAGTTTCTTCTCTTTATTTAGTTTCCTTTTTTCCTTCCGGAATATGGTAAACAATATGAACTATGTATTGTATAATCATTTTCGTATGGAATAAATCAATTATTAGCATATGTTTATGTACATGATGTTGCTCAATTTATACTGAAATAAAGTTACCAAGTCGCTGTATTTAGCTTTATATTGTATTGTAAACCAATGCAAAGCTGAAATCAATGGACCTCATGAACACCGTTTTGTACAGACTGGCCGAGTGGACGATTGAAATAACATCGATCACCAAAGGCAAGGTAGGATAATATATTGTACATGCTCATCATGAATCATGTTGTTTCCTTTCATATTGTTTATTATTTATCGATTCTCGATTTAAAATCATAAGCATACGCTATTTTGATACATCTCAGATAATAAATGGAAAGATTGAACACCATCATTTTGATAATCGTGTTCACAGCGTTTAGATTAGATGGAGTATACTTTGAGTTACCATACTGCTTGTTACTCAAATGTGGTTAGTTGTTATATGTTTTTCATAACCGTTTTCATAACCCAAACATAACAAAAATTCTTATAAATGTTGTCTATGTCGTTCATATTTTTGCAAAGGCTATAGGCAACTCACCTAAAACTCCATTGACATAAACGTAATCATGGATTTGAAAATAGATTTATACGTGTTATATAAGGAGATAAAAGTGAAAGTAGAGTGGGGCACGCATTGTTCTAAATAAACAACATTTACTCGAACATCAACATAATAATTTATTCACATGGGGAATGTACCATTTTAAGCGTGGCAGTTACACACGGATCTGGTACAACACGATGATGATGTACTTTTAGTAAACTTGTATATTAAAAATATCTAGAAACTTTTCTGAGACGATGAAAAGATCAGTTTGCTAAACGTACATCAGCCCCGCTTTGTACCAGACCCCCTGCGTGTACGCGGTACGTACCCCATGATTAAGCAAGTTGGAATAAGGCATCGTATACTAATGACATTTTCAGATATTCAAAATATACATGTATTATGTTATACGTAATTAACAATCTGACTATACGATCACGGATTGTTGACTAAGGTATAGCATATCGGGCAGCCGTTTGCCTCAGTCAACCGGCCTTCTCTGTGTAGACTTTCACGGCCTCTTCCAGTATTTCCCGTCAATCAGATTGTGACCTAAAAATAATAAATGTCCACGTACATATCGTCTTTTACACATGTGTATTAATTCAGTTTTTAATATAATTCAACTTCGACAATCGTCTTCAAGTACACAGTGCAATGAAAAGAAGAATCTCCAAAAAGGGGAATCCCCAAATTTTCTAATTGAATTTAATTCCTAATTCCGGTCAATCTTTTCAGACAAATTGTCAGGGTTTTAATTAATTTCTAAGTTTATTACGTCGATCTTTTAAAAGGATTAATATTCAATATCAAACTAAAATGAACTTCATGTAGTTTTCCATTTCAGATTTGCATAATATATCATATAAAGACGGAGACATAAAATACTCACATTCAAATATGGCGCCAATTGGAAAGAAACAGCAAGATCAACAATGAATTATAATCGATCAACCCTTTACGTAGATATAGATTCTAAAATGAAACTAGGTATCAACATGTGTCAATTTATTCATTAATACTAATACTAATATGCGTACATATCAATATATCGTATGGACGGTATTAGGTAGTGTTGGCTGTCATTAGGTTGTGTTGGACGCCATTAGGTTGTGTTGGACGCCATTAGGTACTGGACGGAATTAGGTGATTCTACCCTACTGTGTAATTTTTGCTTCATCTTTCTAATGTGTTCATAGATCTGTATCTTATCCATGAGACAAGTTAATCCTAGAAAACAACACAGCAATTCAAAATAAATGCAATTTATTTAACAACTATGGAGGGTACTGATATGTACTAAGTACTTTTCTACTTTGAAACAACAAAACATGACCTGACCTTAATTACAGGTATATGAGGCTTGTACCTGAAATGACCAATAGTGAACCTCAAATAAGGCGTAGACCAAAAGTATACCTCAAATATAGACCTGATTTACAGATAGTTGAGGCTTAAATGAGGTCTAGACCTCAAATATAGACCTGATAAACCTGATGAGGTCATCAAATGAGGTCTGCTTCTGGTCTACTTTTGGCTTAATTTAGATATTTGAAACGCGCCTGACTATGGGGATTTAACACAGAGAAAAACCAAAAGTAGACCAGAAGTACGCCTTATGAGTAGACCAAAAGTAGACCTCAAATATTGACCAATATTGCGCCTGACGATAGGCTGGGATATTAACAATATACTTTTGAAAGTCTCTACTCTCAGGACTCTTTGAATGGTGCATAATGTTTGAGAATGTATAATGTTCATGTTCACTAGGAAAATTCTAATTATGTCAAACTTAATACACTAATACATTGTGCACTCTTTATTCATAGGTATTCTTAGCATGTACATTATTTTCTTTCAGCCCATAAATTCCCATCCTCTAGGTCTGTATATAAACGTAGAAAATGGCTTTTGACCCAAGAAATTTGTGTTTTATAGCATTTGTGAAAAATATTCTTGAAAAAAAAAAATATACAAGGCAGGAAATATTAGTTGTCATCGTTGGATTTCTGATTTAATTGTGCCACCTCCGCATTCTTGTATTTCTTAGGGGTCAACAAAGCCATGTTAAAAATACAAAATAGTACTTTACCATTACATTACTTATATTACAATGTCACATATAGCTTGGAAATGATTTTTAAATACTACTTGGAGCACTATAACTGCCTGTTATTTCTCTGAAGCTGCAACAATAAAATCTGTAAGACTAAAAAGGGGTAAGGGGTAGGGGTCAACAAAGCCATATTAAAAATACAAAATAGCACTCAATCATTACATTCCTTATATTACAATGTCAAACATAGCCTGGAAATGATTTTTGATTACTACTTAGAGCACTATTACTGACTATTATTTCTCTGATGCTGCAAAAATAAGATTGGTTAAACTAAAAAAAATAACAAAAATATGCTTTTTATTTCGATAAATTATATTTTCTCCCAAACCAAACAACATATCTCTCTATAATTTCAGGATACACTTATCCACTGTACGGGTGACATATTATGTAAAGATCAGTACTATGGCAAATATTTAATTGATTTTTTAGAACGATAATCTAATACCCCCTCAATTATTATTCTAGGGGGTAAAAAGGCTCAGAATCCTTCGTCCACAAACTAATACGACCCAGACATATGTGAATTGATGCCAAATAAAGTTATCTTTCAGAAAAATTACGTCTAACAAGTGGCCCACCTGTATTAGTGTATTAGTGCTAATGGTGAACTGACATTGATGGTTCCAGGTCTTCACTTTACGTACACTGCTGATAAGAAAGAAGAAGAAGACAACCCTCACGTGCCATCATTCCTCAAACCAGAGACAACAACTTTAAAGTAAGAACCACTAGCATTATTCTTCTTTTCTCAATCTTAGAAAAATATCAGTATGAAAATTATAAAACCTTGGATCAACCAACAGACATGCTTAAGCATTTAAAGGGAAATAAATAGCCCTTTGAGTACCATAATCAATAACCCAGATGCGAGTAGAAATAATCTTGATTTACGTCATTAAAAATTCAAAATTCAGTCAAAGTAATATCATACTTGAAATCTACATGTAAAATTACATCTAGAAATGTGGTTTTAAAAAGTGTTTATCAACTTTGAAAAATTAATTTTCTTTGAAAATGTGACTTCTAGCTCGGGGAGATTCCCCATAGACACCATGCTATAAAATCACAAAAAATGAAATATCTTTTCTTTTAGTGGACAAATAATATTTTGCTTTACTGGACATATTTTCATTAGTATAAGTATCAGACACATAGGGGTTATATGAAAATTGAGCCACTTAAATTGATAATATTCAAGTTTAAGGGAACTTTCTTGTATACCTGCCATGTTAATTGACCCGAATCAGCCACCTGGTGGTGAAACTGGTGACTACCTACTCGCATTTGGGTAATTATTTGATATTTTTATATTTAGGTTTCAAACTCTATCACATTATGTACTTTGAAGTGACCATTAAATAGATTATGGCATTTTAAGATTTTACGAGAGATTAAATGACACTGCATTGTATTTCAGGGATATATTCAACACACCACCTATATTAATGATTGGAACGACAGGAGCTTTACTACAATTGAATGCTAAATCTTTGGAAGTCATCTCAATTATTGACTCTACAGGTGAGACACTTCTTACATGATGATGAACTATACTCCATTCCTGTACAATGTACATGTAAATCGGATTTTCTCCAAAATCACACACATAATAGAGGATATCAAGTTCTAGAGCTGATTAACTTTTTGGTGGCCATCTTGTTTTTTTTTTTTTTCTAGTGGCCATCTTGAAGGTGTTGGGATAAATCTTGTCATCACCATTTCATGAAAACCTCTCATTGGATTTTTCCAAAGGAGTGGTATCGATATGGAGAACTTTTTGAACACATATTTCACACATCGTCAATTCAATGGTCATCTTTTGAATGGAAACAATATAATTTGAAATATATACAGGGTGTCCCGAAAGTATGGGCCCCCCCCCCCTAGGCAGACATATACCAGTGTCGTCATAGTATGTGTCATATATCATTTTAAAGCTTATCCAAAGTTACATTGATTTGCCAAGTATCATGGTTCAACTCTCACATGTGAAAAAATTACAGGCTCTTCAAAATTTAGTGTTTGGTCAAAATTAAGTTCAATTTTACACCAAATCAATAATCAATGTGTCCTCCTGGGCCATCTTAACAGCAGCAATTCTTTTCGGGTCGGATGGATATTGAGTTGGAAAAAGAGAACGATGAGGGTAGAAACTCTAAGGAAACTCTTTTAAAGTGCCTTAACAGGTTTTAAGAGGGTTATAAAATTCCACACCCCTATTTGAAGGGCTTTTAAGGTCATATTTGGAAAAAATTGCTGCTGTTAACATGGCCAAGGGGAGACTCATTGACTAGCAATATGGTGTAAAATTGAACTTTATTTTGACAAAACACTAAGTTTTAAAATGACTGTAACTTTTTCCCATTTGGGAGTTAAACCATGATACTTGGCAAATCAATGTAACTTTGGATAAGCTTTAAAATGATATATGACACACACTATGAGGACACTGGAATATGTCTGCCTAGGGGGGGGCCATACTTTCGGGACACCCTGTATATATATATATATGAGTAGCTTATTTGCAAAAGGTGGAGTGAAGTATAGTACCTAGTTTAGTCAATAGAGGGAATAGTTATCTGTCCCCGGGAAAGTTTCCCCGGGAATTGTTACTCCAACTTAACTGAGTAATTCAGTCACTAAATTGGCTTACACTACGATACAATTTCAATCCCAGCATTTTTTGTATCATGCATGCGTTTTATGTGCAGGATTGGATAGTTTTTAGAAACATGTGTCACTCATCGGGAGAAGTGTACTGTGATAAGTTGCACATTCAATATCGCAATTATTTGGTCTTTTTGAATTTAACAACTTTGACCACACTGGCGGATCCAGATGAAAATTTAAACCCCATTCTTTGAAAATGTGGCCTAAAAATGCCATATCATGCCCAAAAAGACTCATTTTTGAGGCCATATGTAATTATTTTCGAGCAAAACAATTTTTGGGGTCCTAAAAAGGGGGGGGGGTGCAAGATGGATCTGGATCCGCCAGTGGGATGATAACAAACAGAGGCGTATTAGAGCTAAAATACGGTGAACAATCGTAGAATTCCTGATATGCCCGTTAATTTCACGATTTACGTATACAGTATATAAGTACAATTGGTACGCTATGAATGCATTCTTCTGACTTGGAGCAGAATTCAAGCACATATATCGGTTAATGCAGAATATGGCGGTATGATCTTCCTGCATTGTGTGTTTCATCTGGACGAACCCCCGTCCTCAACATAATATATATGAAGTATTGCTGCCCTTGTTCGAGTCCCAATACTCGAAAACCCATGATTAGACCGAAATCGAATACTACTGAATCCAATACTCCAGAAAGATAAATCAGTTAAACTTCATGAGAATGACGTATACAGTTTGCGTAGCATCCCGGAGGTGGAGAAGGCAAAGCTTCCCACGGCAGGAAAGGACAATTTTACAAAATTTAATGTAATTCCTAATAAAGTTCAAAACACAGCGCGTATTTAATTAATTTTGTTACCGTATATATTTTTATTTAGTTAAAAATATTCAAAAACAGTTAAAAGATCAGTAAAACATGCAATGAAATATGTGATATATACTAAGGACGCTTTCATGATTTTAAATAGCTACACCTTCAGCAAGCATTTTGTTTATTACAAAAAGTGACATTAAATAATAACCTGCCAATATTTATTAAAAGTTCCCCCAATACAAATGAATATACTTATCTGAGTAACCTGGTAATAACCGCGATAGTTAAAACGCCTCCGAATCCGAACGAATCCACTAACACAGCCTAGGGGTTAGAGGAGTTTCTAAATAGCTTTGAAATCTATGTCATTTCATTCAAAACCAATAAATGTTAAAAATGGGTATATTTCATGTAATTGAAAATAGCTAAAACGAAAATGATTTTTTCTCATTGTTATATGTATTTTAAAATAAAATGCCTTTATCTAAATTCGGTCAGCATACTTATTGATCATTCCGGTTGTAAATAGCTTTGATAACTCGCGAATAAGGCTATAAGAAGTAGATTCTTTGTTTTGTGTCCCCTTGCATGCACGATTTTGAGTAAATCAGAAAAAACAAACACATCCAAATAGCAATCACAAGGGTCTTAAAGTACCATCGCATTTCGTTCAATCAGAATCAGATGAAATGGTGGATAATTTGATGTGCGTCAAACTTGACAGTGTTATAATTACTTTGGCATACATTGTGTATTTTCTTATTTTTTACCCTTGAATAATAGCTATGTTTATTTATTGTACAAACAAGGCCGTAGGGAGAGGGGGTTCGGAGGGTTCGTGCGAACCCCCCCCCCCCTAATCCAGCCCAAAAAATCGAACCCACCTTTTCAGCATTATGCGAGCAAGACGAACCCCCCCCCCAAATCCAGATTTCAACGTCGGGAGTAGAATTTGTTTTCTCCGTCTGTTATCAGATTTTTACACAGCCTCGTTCATTTCTGTAAATGTCCGGAAAAAAGTTGGGGAAAATTTACACAATTTTGATTGGCCTATTTAAGTTCGTTAATTTCCGTGTCTCTATGTAAATGTCCGAAATAATTCTAAGCAATTTGATTGGTTGAAGGCATAATAGAGGCCATACTGCTTTTTGAAAAACATTTTATAGAATCTCCACAAAATTTAGTGATTTAATAGTGATTTAGAGTTTATTTTAGCACAAGAAATAGACAACATTATCTATAAATCAACAGCGCATACGTCGAAGAACAAGGAATAGGAATGAGCAGAAGATATTTGTTAAAATCAACTAGATATACACGAACAATTTAAAAAAAAATTGGAATCCCGGGCCGATTCTGGGGGTGATGACTTAGAAAATGTCTTGAGACATCACCAGTTATGTACACGCATTGTTCATGCAGTCTGTGAACAAGTGGTGAGAGGTCTCTGTGTGGGGACCTGGGAGACATAATCTAGTCGCCTAAGTTTCCCTAAACTATCGCATGTCTAATATGTGACAAGAATAGTGTATGTCAGTAAATATGGCGTGAGATATTGTTCGTATCTTACCCTAGAAAATATATTGTTTTGTTTTTTGTTATTTTTGTGAGGGCGGCCGAAAGAAATATATAAAATTTAGTCTGTAACAACATGGTATTTTTATGTGATTCATAATGCTCAGATTATTTAGATCCATATTTGTCTATATATGGCATGTGTTTCATGAATTTTAGTCATTTTTGAAATATAAAACAGTTCTACCTTAACATTTAGTTTGTTCCACTTACCTAGTCTTTATTAGGAGGCCCCCCGACAGGGGGCCTCCTATAGATTTTATAGATATTATTTATTAGACTCCAGATTGAAAATCTGGAGTCTATTGCTTTTGCCAGTTTTCTTCTTATTATTAGAATGCCGGTTTCGAAGAAACGGCATTCTATAGTTTTCGCCTTTTTCTTATTTTTATTATTAGACTCCAGATGAAATCTGGAGTCTATTGTTTTCGTCAGTTTTCTTATTATTAGACTCCAGATGAAATCTGGAGTCTATTGTTTTCGTCAGTTTTCTTATTCTTATTCTTATTAGACTCCAGATGTCAATCTGGAGTCTATTGTTTTTGCCAGTATTCTTCTTATTTTTCTTTTTGAGTTTTTTCAATAACTATAGGGTATCCAGTAAAGACCATTATACAGTTTATTTAGGTTCAGTATCTAGTTGGTGGGAAATTGGGTCAAATTTTTATCTAGGTCAGAGGTCAAGAACTAGGTCAAATTTTGCATTTTCAACATTCTATCAATTATCTTCGTTGTTATTTATCGAAACAACTTTGTCTTTTTTTCATCATGTAGCTTAGAAACAGCCCTTTCATAAGTGTGCCATCAGATTTTTGATTACTGTTACCGATTTTGAGATATGGCGTCCGGAAAGTAGGTCAAAACAAAAAATTCTTCAAATTCAACATGTGAGTTATGAAATAAGTGTAGGATGATCTCAGGAATCCGAAACTGCAAACCAAATTTCGATCCGACTTCTGGTTCGGAAGTTATGGCGTTTTGAAAACTCAAAAATCGCTAAATTTTGTGCCCATGTTAATTCAATGGGAAAAAATATTTTTTTGAAGTGAAAAAAACGAAATATAGACTGAGTTCAGCTTAATTTAATGAAAGCTTTCAAAAGAAGGGGACCTCAAAAGCCATCTAGCTTCAGAATTTGGACACAAAAATTCCTAGGTCAAAATCTAGGTCAAATTCAAAGGTTTTCCTTATTTTTGCGATTCTGACACTACACTTCAATTATATTCTTCCAAATTGTGTATACATGTAGCCAAGAGTGTGCTAATAGTGTTAGCCTTTTGCCGTCAGAAAGTATTTTGACCCACTTTTGAGATATGGTGTCCGAAATGTAGGTCAAAATAAAAAGTTCTCCAAATTTAACGTATGAGTTATGAATTAGGGGTAGAATTTTGTCAGGAATCCGAATCTGCAAACCAAATTTCGATCCGACTTCCGGTTCGGAAGTTATGGCGTTTTGAAAACTCAAAAATCGCTAAATTTTGTGCCCATGTTAA